CTTTGTTCTTGAATAGTTTATTTGAGTCGTGACACAAGTTTTAAACTGTTATAATAGCACGTAGTCTGTAGTGGGAAATAAGATTTTTTAGTTGTAATCTTTGGGAACTGTGAAATTTAGTGGTTTCTGGCTAATGAGAATTGCTAATTTTTGGTGCAGTCTACTGGTTTTTACTGCTCTAAGTATGGGTGATACCTTATCTGGCTTCTAGAAGGTTTACTTCAGTTAGCTATTAGTAACTGTTCTTATTATTTCTTAAAATGCACTGTTTTTAGGACTAAAAGAGTATTAAAACTTTTTGTTTATGAATAAGTACGGTGCTGAGAATATGGTACTGCAACTTTATCATGGGTATGAAACTAATTCAACTTGGAAATTTGTGTTGAGTTTAGTGTTTATTTGAAGTATTTTTGGGCATTATTTGAGATAAAAAAATGAGTTAAGGCAACTGTAGCCTTAGCAACACTGTAGTGCGACTGTTAGACAATCTGTAATACTTTTTTATAATTATGAATTACAGTTTTTCTTGGTGAAAATTATGTAATTAAAGTTTACTGTCTTGGTGGGACAGTTCTACTGCTGAAGCTCTGCGATTGCAGTTAGTCACGCAAAAACAATTACTGTATTTCGTGACGTAATTTCTTTAAAACTTTCAAGAGCTTTCTTTTTTTTATCAATTCAAGATTATCATTGGTAAAGGTATGGTGAAAGTGACATTTGTACAGTTAATTCACTGCTGTATTATGAATATTTTTTTCATAATCAAGGTATATGTTATAATTAGGATAAATAAGATAAATAAATGTTACTATTAATTTGATATAAAGTAATTGGTCACTGAAAGTGCGGTTCTGAGTCCAAATGGATGAAGTTGGAAAGTGAAAAGGAAATACAGGCAACAACAAACAAAAATGAAACGATGATCTCAAGGCAAAACAGATATAAACACCAAAATAAATAGATACATTTATATGGGAGGGAGGAATCTAATAAGATAACAGCTACAAACTAGTATTTCCCCAGAAACAGCTTTTTTAGTTGCAATTTATGTTCTAATCTAAACAATTTTTACTTTTTGAACAGTTTTTATTGGTTTTGTTCAAATATTTTTACATATTTAGGAAAAAAAAATACCCGAATTTTTGAAGGATTTTTAAAGCTGCCGTTACGTAACCCTTTTTAGACACCGATAACAGACTGCTGTTTAGTATTTTTCTGCAGAAGCAATACTTCCGTTTTCTTTACCATTTTGGTCAGCTTTTTTTAGCTCAATGTAGGTCAGAGCTTCTCGTTTTTCCTTTTTGCTCATGAACAGTAGCTCAACTTCTTCTATGGTATAACCGCTGGTCTCTGGAACCGCAACGAAGAAGAAGACGAATGCAACTAATGTTATCCCGGCGTAAATAAAGAATGTACCTAGAATTTTATATTTATTTTAATGAGGCTACACTCTAACTGTCTATCTTTGTCAATTTTTTGAAGCGAAACAGTTTGCAGTTTTCATCAATTATCAGGAGAAAAAGAGACATTTTTGTGTAGTATGTTTAAAGATTTACCATATTTTGTAACTGCTTCACTAAGTGTTAGGAAAGTAAGCGAAACGATCAAGTTGGCAACCCAATTAACACAAGTTGTAATTGAGCAACTTGTACTACGGGCCCAAAGTGGGTAAAATTCCGCGTTCATTACCCATGGAAGTGGTGCAAAGCCTAAATCAGATGGTACAATTGTTTTTGAAAACTTTTAAATAAAATCATTGTTTTGTAAAAACAAAATTGAAAATAAGGTTAGAAAGTCGCTATACAGAAAGACAAATAATTTTTATGTAACAAACCCTGCAACACTTTTGTGAAAGTTGTAAAATTATTACATTTCTAAGTACGACTTTATAATTTGGGTCGTGAGAGAGTTATAAAATGTTAGAAATTTTTAATGATGAATTGGTGAACTGTTAAGAATGACTAATGACTAACCGACAGCAAAGAATGCTAAATAGAAGAACATGACCACAATTGGCATAGGTGTGTACTTGCTCTTGCAGAAATTGTCGCCAAATCCGTAAACAGATTCGTTAATTGGGTTTTGGCAGGGTCCAACTGTCGAGTAGTCCGAGTCGTCATCACTTATTGGTAAACAGTATCTAAAAATGATTAGAGTGAACAAAGTACCAGTCAGTTTCAGATTTCTTAAAGAACTTAAATTTGAATGAAGTAAACTAACCCCGTTCTGTCTTTAGTTTTATCTGTACAGAATCCGCAGTTCTCATCGGTGACACAAAAATCGCAGTTCCTGAAGACCAGTAGCAAAAATTTTATTGAATTGATATAATGAATAAAAATTAATTGTTTTCTAAGTTATTAAAATTTTCAAAACTGAATGACTTATGCTTTTTTTGAGCAATAGTGAATAAACTGACACCTTAGCAGACTGTATAAGTATTAGTAATTACACTTGGTTTTTTGTTTCAGTTTTCCCAAATTATTAATACTTCTATAACAATAGTCTTTTTAGAGTTTTCTTAAAGCAGTTCAAGAATGGTAAAAGAAGGAAAAAATTGTAGCTGACGTGTAAGTGTTGCACTTAGCGACTTGAGTATCGTTGAGGTCTATTCCCTGCAAGTCAACGGCGGTGATAACCGGATACGAATCTTTATTAATCAGCAAAAATGCAATAGACATGAGGATTAAAGCCACAAAAACACCGCCAACTGACAGTAGCAGCAGTATCCGTCTGCCAACCTTTTCAACAAGCCATATTGGTATAAAGGTTGCGAAAAAGTTGATGGCTTAAAAAGATGGTTATATGTTAGTAATCAAACTCAGTCATCATTCACCAATGTCAGAATAAACATTTTTGGCAAATGAAAATTTAAAAGTTTATTAGTTTACATTGGAATTTAGAAATATTAGAATAAGCATTTTGTTTCTTTGAAGGTGACGCTTTTAGACTTGGTCACTTTTAGTTAATATCTGTTTTACAATCAAAATACACAAAAAAAGAAAGGTTTTTCTTACAAGAAGAAATCAAAAAAATATGCTGTATTCTGTAGCGCTCAACTAACCTGATATAGCTGCAGATATCCAAACTGTTGTATGCTCATCTGTGATACCTGCTGAACGTATAATTGTTGAGGTATAATACCTAAATTAAATTATAAATAACAGTGTGTTTTCTTGTTTAGTGTTTGAAAAAAACAGAGCAAAATAAACAGTTTGAAGTAAATAATTTCTCTCTTTGTTGAATTTCTCATTTATTCTTCTTGTACAGTACAACA